CTTAGGATGGAAGAATCCCATGCACCGCTACAGGCTGAGGACCGACTGGCTAAGTGGCAGTTCTGCAGAAAAGGACCTCGGGATTACAGTGGATGAAAAGTTGGATATGAGTCAGCAGTGTGCCCTTGTTGCCAAGAAGGCCAATGGCATCTTGGGCTGAATTAGGAGGAGCACTGCCAGCAGATCAAGAGAAGTGATTATTCCCCTCTATTCAGCACTGGAGTACTGCATCCAGTTTTGGGCCCCCCAAAACAGAAGGGATGTGGACAAATTGGAGAGAGTCCAGCGGAGGGCAATGAAAATGATTAGGGGGCTGGGGCACATGATTTATGAGGAGAGGCTGAGGGAACTGGGCTTATTTAGGCTGCAGAAAAGAAGAATGAGGGGGGATTTGATAGCAGCCTTCAACTACCTGAAGGGGGGTTCCAAAGAGGATGGAGCTCGGCTGTTCTCAGTGGTGGCAGATGACAGAACAAGGAGCAATGGTCTCAGGTTGCAGTGTGGGAGATCTAGGCTGGATGTTAGGAAACACTATTTCACTAGGAGTGTGGTGAAGCACTGGAATGGGTTACCAAGGGAGATGGGGGAATCTCCATCCTTAGAGGTTTTTAAGGCCTGACTTGACAAAGCCCTTGCTGGGATGATTTAGTTGGGGATCGGTCCTGCTTTGAGCAGGGGGCTGGACTAGATGACCTCCTGAGGTCTCTTCCAACCCTAATCTTCTATAATTCTATGATTTACACTCCCTGGGGATCTGCCCAGAACTTTTCACTGGACAAGATGGACGGGAGCAGTTGGGCCAGTCAGGGTCAGGGCATGATGGCTCCCAACAGCAACACTGATCTCAGGGCTGACAGACAAGGGGGAGGGAACAGCTCTTATTTTATCTGTTATCTGAGCCCTGACAAGCACTTTCTCCTGCTCACAGCCCAGGTGGTGGGTGTGTCAGGGCTCCTCTTATCTCTGTTTGCCATGGCAGTAAATTATTGTACCTGTCATCAGCACAGATTTGCATGTTCAGTATTGACCCCTGGGCCCCTCCTACCGTGGACTGGTCTATAAATGCCCCAGGCACGGCCAGTGTCCCATGCAGGCTTCACTTGAACTGACCTTGCACCAGAGCGGCTACGCAGAGAGACAATCAGGTGAGACCCTGCATTCCTCCAGCTTCTTCCTCCTCCTGTGCTGGGTGGCTGGCAGCAGCTGATCCGATACAGGGGCAGGTGCCCTGGGTGAGTCCCCTGATCCACGGCTGTCTCTGTCTCACCCCTTCCTCCCACCCAGCACAGCCCTGCATGTAGTACCCTCATGCCCTGCAGAGCCGTGCCGAGCCCTCTGCCCCTCCCAGAGCTTGGCCCAGCATCCAGTCCTGTGTCCAGTCCTTGCTGGAGCATCACTCTGCAAGGCAGCTCTCCCATTGGACACCTTCTCCCAGTCAGGGTGCCACGGGGGTCCCAGCCCCCATCACGAGGTGCAGTAACTATCACCCCTCCCCTTCTTTCCCCGCCCCAACCACATGGTGTTAACTTTCCAGACACTCGATCTCCCTGGAGCTGGAAATATGAGTGTGATTCAAACACCTGTTAGTGGAGGAAAGGCCCCAGGGGCAGGGGCAGTGGGTGTTTCGTGGACCAGGGGCTGGGTGATAACACGAGAGGACTCCATGTTTCTAAAACTAAACTGGCTCTCTAGTCGGGCCATTTAGCAAACAGCCCCAGTTCCAAAGCACTGAAATGCCCCATGAGGGATGGCAGGGGGTTGCTCTGGGGCGCATCTCAGGCTGTCGTGGCCCCATCTCCCTTGTGTGTTTTCTCCACAGGGGAAGCGAGAAGATGGGGCCAGTCGCCTACTTCAGCCTCTGCCTCCTCGGCTGCCTCATCTTTAACCCCTCATTGGAAAGTGAGTCCCTGGCCGGCCCCTCGGAGCTGGAGACCCCAGACTCTGTTTGCCCTTGATGGGAAGTGAATTTATTTCACCCAGGGCCCCCAGCCCCACCATGTGGAAGCAGCCAACAAAGCCAACCCCAGCCAGCAGCTCAGCCCCTGCCCAAGGGGCGAGGCTGCTTCCTGCTGCCCCTGGCTCTGAATGCAGAGGGAATCCCTGAGACCTCCTGGGGCTGAGTGTGAGAGACAGGCTGGGAGCTAGACCCGCCCCATCTCCTCTTCCTGCTTACGGGGTGACTCTCCCCACCGGGGTGAGGGGGAGGCATCCCAACCAGGGAACAGACTGTGCCAATAACATCCCAAACGAGTGACCTCCATCTCTTTTCAGAGGGCTCAAAATGGCACCTCTTCGTAAACTTAATCCTTCTGCTTTGGGATAATCCAAACCCTTCCCCCCTCCTCCCTGCCAAAGAAAAGTCCTGGGACCCACAGACTATTTCTCTCCCCCAGCCCCCCTTCCTTACTTATCCCCACCAATCTCTGCACTTACTCCACATGCTCCTAATCCCTCCCCCCACCTTCCCTGCCCTCTCTGGGCCCTCAGCTATCAGAGAACCATAGAAATGGGGGCTGGAAGGGACCTGCAGAGGTCACCTTGTCCAGCCCCCGGCACTGAGGCAGGACCAAGTAAAACTAGATTATCCCTGACAGATGTTTTTCCAACCTGTTATTAAAAACCACCGCTGACAGGGAACCCACAACCTCCCTCGGTAGCCTCTTCCAGAGCTTCACTACCCTGAGAGTTGGGAAGTTTTTTTTCCTAATATCGAACCTAAATCTCCCAAGCTGCAGATTATGCCCATTACGGCTTGTCCTAGCATAGGGGCCGGCAAACTTTTTGGCCCAAGGACCACATCTGGGAATAGAAATTGTATTGGGGGCCATGAATGTTCAGAAAATTTGGTTTGGGGTGCAGGAAGGAGTGAGGTCTCTGGTTGGGGTGCAGGCTCCAGGGTGGGGCCAGAAATGAGGAGTTCAGGGTAAGAGAGGGGCTCAGGGCTGGGGTGGGGGAATAGGGTGCGGAGGGGGTGAGGGCTCTGGCTGGGGGTGCGGGCTCTGGGGTGGGGCTGAGGATGAGGAGTTTGGGGTGTAGGAGGGTGCTCTGGGCTGGGACCATGGGGTTCAGAGGGTGGGGAGAGGGATCAGGGATGGGATAGGGGGTTGGGGTGCGAGGAGAGGCTCAGGGGTGCAGGCTCCAGGTGGCTCTTATCTCAAGGGGCTCCCAGAAGCATTGGCCATGTCCCCACTCTGGCTCCTACACAGAGCCATGGCCAGGTGGCTCTGTTCACTGCTCTGTCTGCAGGCGCCGCCCCTGCAGCTGCCATTGGCCGCAGTTCCCAGCCAATGGGAGCTGTGGGGGTGGTGCTTCGGGTGGGGGCAGTGTGCAGAGCAGAGTCCCCTGGCTGCCCCTACACATAGGAGCCAGAGGGGGCCATGCCACTGCTTCTGGAAGCAGGACGGAGTGGCTCCCAACCCTACTCCCCAGCTGGAGCGTGGCAAGCCCTGCTCCGCAGCAGGAGCTTGAGGACCAGATTAAAACGGCTGGTGGACCAGATCCTGCCCATGGGCCATAGTTTGCCCACCCCTTGTCCTGCCATCAGCGGACACGGAAAACAATTGATCACCATCCTCTTTATAACAGCCCGTAACAGGTGTGAAGACTGTTCTCTGCTCACTCCTCAGTCTTCTTGTCTCTAGACTGAACAAGCCCAGCTTATTAACCTCTCCTCACAGGTCAGGTTTCAAAACCTTTTAGCATTTTTGTTGCTCTCATTTTCCGGACTCTCCCCATCTTATCCACGTCTTTCTGAGAGTGCGGCACCCAGACCAGGACACAGAACTCCAGCTAAGACCTCGCCTCATGGTCACTTTCACCCAAATGTCTTCAGAGTTCAGATTTGCAACCAAATCCTCCCTGTTAGTCAGAATGAAGTCTAATGTGGCTCTTCCCCTTCTTACTTTCTCCACCTTAGGAAATAAGAAGTTATCCCCAATACATTCTAAGAACGATTTGAAAATTTTATGTTTTCCCATATTGCTTTTCCAACAGATATCTGGGAAGCTGAAGTCCCCCCATTAGTACCAGATATTGTCTTTTGGATATTTCTGTTATTTGTTCTAGAAATACCCTATCCACCTCCTTCTCCCCGAGATTTGGTGGACTATAGTAGACCCCTAACATAACATCACCCCTCTTTTTTCCCCCTTTTATCTTTACCCAGAGACTTTCAGTTGGTCTGCCTCTCACCTTCTGGACCTCAGAACTATATATTCTTGACGTATAATGGAACACCTCTTCCTTTTTTCTCTGCCTGTCCTTCCTGAACAAGCTATACCTCTCTCTACCAATATTCCAGTCAGGAGATTTATCCCTCCGGGATGTTAATTAAGTAATAATTTAGCTTAAATACTAATACTTCCAGTTCTTCCATTTACTCCCCATACTCCTTGCATGTGTGTATAGACATCTGAGATGTACAGCAGATGCCCGCACTGTTCTCCCTCTTGTTGCTCCTATGACCCCATTGTAATTTCCCTTGTCCCCCACCAACATTTGGCCTTCTGTTAAGGTCACCTGTGGGATTTTGTCACCCATCCCTTTTGAACCTAGTTCAAAGCCCTCCTCACTAGGTTAGCAAATCAGTGAGTGGTGTCCCTTCAGCCTCTACTATACTCCAATGCCCCCAACTTCCCATCTGCTCCTAGTCACACCAGTGTCCCATGACACCCAGTGCTCTCCATTCTCACCCCCACAGTCCCTGTGTACTCTGATTCAACCCCCTTGATACCTCTCCCTGTCAGGTTCCCCAGTGCTCCTGCACAGAAGATAGGAGGAGACCATCTTCACTGAGGACAGCCCAGCTCCTGTCCCCTTGGAGAGGAGATGGTGGTAATTATTAGTACAACAGCCTCACTGCTACTGACAAAGGTGGCAAGGGAGGGGCAGCTGTTTTAAGAAAGTAGCTTCAGCCCTATTGAAAGTAATAGGAGATAGTGGCCATTCTGAGAGAGGGCAAACGTTCACAGGATTTGGGGAGAACTGGAAAAGCTGGAATGATGACAGCTGGCACCTCTGCTCCCATTCTCTTCTCTGAAACAGCCTCTCACCACACTGTTCTCTCTCCCTGTCCCATCACCTCTCTCGGATCAGGAACAGGGGCCACGTCCTGTCTCCCTGAATGGCTGCTCTACCAAGGCCGCTGCTATGGGTTCTTCCCTGAAGAGGTGTCCTGGTCAGAAGCTGAGGTACGAGGCTCTTCTCAGGGATCCACGGGGTGGGTTTGTGGGCAGGGGCTGAAGGGGTTTGGTGACATCACCATTAGCCCCAGTGTGTACCCCTGCAGAGGATGGGTGGGGAGGCTGCAGAAGTGACGTGGCTGGTGCAGAAGCGGGCCAAGGAGGAGTGGGAGGAGCCAGGGTTGAGCTCAGGGGTGAGGGGCTCCTAGAGGGTGCCCGAGGGCAAAGCCCGGCACAGGGAGTTTTTTATTCAGCACTCAGTAGGGGTAAAACACGCCCGGCTCCCTCCTTTAGCTGTGTGTTCCTGTGACTGGGCCCTGCCCTTCCTTGTTGCCTGCCAAACAGCGCCCCCTGCAGGGGGGTAACAGGCCTCGCTGATGTCCCTGCCGCAGGTGCAGTGTCAATATCACCGCAAAGGGGCCCATCTCGCCTCCATTCTCAATGGTGCAGAAGGGAACACGGTGGCCAGATACATCACCGAGTCAGGCTCCAAGGATCATGTCTGGATCGGACTGCACGATCCCCGGGAGGTGAGTGCCCAGAGCCTGCTTTGCCTCTGGCAGTTGTTCACCCTCTCCATGACTCTGTTTCCCAGGGGCTGTGCAGAGACCATGTCCCATGAGACCTTCATAGGGGCTGCCAGGAACTCCCTCCCCCACTCCTACACCCTTCCCCTGTCATGGGCACCAGAGTCTCCCATGTGCACTCCATCTTTAACCCCTGCCCTCCCGCACCCTTTCCATCTCCATCCTTCTGTAGGTTCTGACTCCCCTTTGGCTTTTCCCTGCTAAATACAACCAGGCCCTGGTCTCTCCGGCCATCAAACCAACCTTTGACCGGCACCTGCCTCTCCAACTACTGACCCATCTCCCTTCCCCCTTGCCAGCTCATGCAATGTGCCGTGCCCTCCCGCTGCACCCCGCATCCCGTCTCCACTCCACTCTGACCAAGTTTTCCAGCCACTTTTTCCTGCCCAAGACTTGAGCCTCTGCTCCCCCTTGACCTCGAAGCTGCCCCAACACTGCTGGTCACTCCCTCAGCTTGGGGATCCTGTCCTTGCCTGGTTCTTTGTAGCAGAGCCCCCAGCTCCTTAGGGCAGGGAAACAAAGGGGGAGCCGTCACAGGCTGGGAAGGAGCCCCAGTGGAGGAAGGAGTCATTATGAACAGAGGACTGGAAAGAACCTCTCAGGTCACCGAGTCCAGGCCGTGCTATGGCCGGCAACCCCGTCACGCCATCTGTGTCACGCCACCCCCTTCGTAAACTTACCAAGCTCCACCTGAAGCATTGTCTCCATCCGTTTCCTCTCCCTCCCCACCGCTAGGGAGGCGCTGGGGTCAGGAGGCTCCCCGAGCATGCACAGACTCAGGCCCTGGATCCCCCTCCCCAGACTGGAGGCTGGGCTGGACTCAGAACAGGAGGAGCGAGAGACTCTGTGTCCCATTCTCTAGTATCCTCAGGCATCCAGCTCCCCACAACCTGGCAATGGATTGGAACTAGTTCTCTGACCCCCAAAGCCAGCTAGTCCCCCCATGAGCTGAGGCCAGGCCAGAGCCAGCACCCCTAGAGAAGAAAGGGCCTGTGTCCCCTTCTCTGATTCTACTGAGCTAATCAGTCCTGCTAACCTGGGGTCAGACTGACGCTGAGCCCACTAGAGGGGAAAAGGTCCCGTGTCCCATTCCCTGATCCATCCAGCATCTCCATCACAGACGCCCTTTTATTTTGCTTAAGCAGGAGGAGATCACCCACCTTAAAACCACTAGTGCCCCCCAGCGGGCCTTGCCTATGGGGTTTAGGGACTAGAACACACTCCAGAGTGACTCTGCTCCATCACCAGGTAATTCATTAATTCAAGCAACGGGCTTGGAAGGCAGAAGGTGACGTTCATGTGCTGTGTTACTATTAGATCAGCGTCTCCAGGTCCTGTCCCCCTGAGCTGGTCTCTCCCCACTGACTGCCCCACGGCCCTTCCCCGACTCTCTCCCACTGCCTAAGTAGGGCACTTCTGTGTTGGGTTTAGGTGTTTCTATGGTGCCTTGTCACCAAGGTCTCTTCTCTGCGGGACCCCACAACCTTTCTCCCCTGTCTCTGCAGAACAGACGCTGGAGGTGGACAGATGGCTCCCCGTATCGCTACAAGGCTTGGAACACCGGGGAACCAAACAATCAATATGGTGTCGAGTACTGTGTCGAGCTGCTGCGCTACACGGGTAAGCAGTCGGTTCAAACACACATGCACCAACAAAGAAGCCAAGACACACACCCTGGCCACACACTCCAGCTCTCTCTGCGGAGATGGCCTCCTGTCCTGTCACCCTGCCTCTCTCCCTCAGCTCACACTGCCACTCCCTCTCCCCTCATCTCACCTGGTAACTCCTCCTGCAAGCATCCCAGTCTGAGGCTCAGCTCCAGTCAGAGGAAGGCCATCCAGTACCTTTGGCCCCAGACAATCAGTTGAAGCGAAAGACCAGAGCAGAGCTATTGCCCACTAGGTGCCATGTAGGTGGGGTCTGGGTCCTTCGGTTGGTGCCTCGGTGGCTTTTGGCACCCTGATTCTGGAGTCAGCCAGGGGCTATTTTGGCCCCAGGACAATTTAGAGCAGCCCCAGAGCTGCTCTGACAGTGGCAGTAACAAACTGGACAGCCAGAGCACAGGGGCTTCAGACACACCCCAGCCTGTCCCCTATGTTGGGGAGGCCAGGGCTGGGCAGGGCAGCTCTCTCTGCTGGGCTCTCCTATGTGAGAAGAATCCCCAGCTGGCCATTAAGCCAGCTTCCTGCTGTCCGTGTCGCTGGAGTGAAATAGGGGGGTGGAGCGGGGCTGAAAGTCTCGTCTCATTCGCTGGCAATAGGACGGAGAGCTGCGTGAACAGGGAAAGCTCACTCGCTAATTCATGAGTGACTCATTCTTCATGGGCCACGCTAGTCACACGGACTCACCCACCCATCCGATGCTCACGAGTCTGAGTGTTCAGCAGCGTTGGTACGAATGCTCCTTTCCCCACAAACTCACACTGGGCAGGATTTTTCCCCCCACTGTCCCCTACTTAAAAGTGTCACTCGTCCAATCCTGGAGCGGGAACAGTGCCATGTGACCTGCATGACCAATCACACACACAGCTAATAGTTGAAGTGAAAACTACTGCAAAACAAGTGTGGGAACCGTTTCTGAATAGCGCTCCCGGGGCTGTGTGGCTCTGCGAATGGGGAAGAGGGTGAAATTCACAGCAATTCATCAAACCGAATCCTTAGTGCTGTCCCCTGGGAAGAGATGCTGCCGCAGGGCCATGCCCAAACCCAGATGTGTAGGAGACGGAGGTAGGGCCGGCTCGTTCAGCACAGAGCGAGCCAGATTCCCTCTTCCTGAGCTTGTCTCCCCGCTGGCACCTGGCCAGGGCTCTGTGCTCTCCTTTCTGGCCTTTTGAGGGGCGTTGGTGGGGACGGAACAGCAGTCACAGATTGAGAGGCAGCCTGGTCTAGAGGACAGGGAAGGGATTGTGACACAGGAGACCTGGCTTCTATTTCCAGCCCTGTCATTGAGCTGTTGGGTAAACTTGAGCAACTCATTTCCCCATTCCATGCCTCAGTTTCCCCTCCCACCTCTTGTCTATTTAGACTGTGCGCTCTCTGGGCAGGGGTACTCTGTCAGTGTGTGTGGACACAGCACCTAGCACCAAGAGGCCCCATCCTGCTCTCATCAGACACTTTCCAACACAATAGAAGAGGGTCTTCCACGGTTACGCTGACTCAGCGTCCCTCAGGGAACGATGGAGCCTGTCCCTGTCTGAGGCACATGGGCCTTCATCTCCAGCCTCCTCATCCTTGCAGCCTCATGCACGGGAGCAGGGGTCTTCTCTCAGCAGGGTGCAATGAGGGGGGTTGTCACTGTAAGGGCAGGAATGGCCCCACTCGCCCTTCCCCTGCCCCAGTGATTTCTGTTTTGCCTTCTAGATTTTAAGAACTGGAACGATAAAGACTGTCATACGAAAAATGGCTACGTTTGCCAGTATGAACTCTAGCGAGGGGAGTCGCTCGCCTGCGCCTTAAGGGGGAGCTCAGCGCCTGGGATGCAAAAGAACTGGGCTCCTTGGGCACGATCAGGCAACGTCCCAGACTTTCCGATGCCTTTGCTGCATCAAGGGACAGTCCTCTCCCTCCCTGAGAGGCCAGATCTCACTTCCCCAGCTGCCAACTCTCTTCCCCCAAGTGTCTCTGGTCTAGTTACACTCCTGCCCCTTCCCTCTCTTCCCCTCAGTGACAGAAGCCCACCACAAGAATAAACTTTCCTGAGCATGCAGTTCTGTGTGTGTCTCCTCTGTCCCAATCCTGGCCCCTGCGTAGATTCGTCCATCCAGCCCCCTCTGACTGTGTCCTGAGCCGCCCAGATCCCACTCGAGGAGAAGAAGGGAACCCCCAGAGGGAGGCAGGATGGGCCTGGCCTTTGAGACAACAGACAAGACTTGTTTCAGAGTAGCAGCCGTGTTAGTCTATATTCGCAAAAAGAAAAGGAGTACTTGTGGCACCTTAGAGACTAACCAATTTATTTGAGCATAAGCTTTCGTGAGCTACAGCTCACTTCATCGGATGCATACTGTGGAAACTGCAGAAGACATTATATACACAGAGACCATGAAACAATACCTCCTCCCATCCCACTCTCCTGCTGGTAATAGCTTATCTAAAGTGATCACTCTCCTTACAATGTGTATGATAATCAAGGTGGGCCATTTCCAGCATAAATCCAAGTTTAACCAGAACGTCGGGGGGGAGGGTAGGAAAAAACAAGGGGAAATAGGCTACCTTGCATAATGACTTAGCCACTCCCAGTCTCTATTTAAGCCTAAATGTCTGGATTTGAAGTTTTTGTTGTAAGATAGCGACCTTCATATCTGTAATTGCGTGACCAGAGAGATTGAAGTGTTCTCCAACTCTTTTATGAATGTTATAATTCTTGACATCTGATTTGTGTCCATTTATTCTTTTACGTAGAGACTGTCCAGTTTGACCAATGTACATGGCAGAGGGGCATTGCTGGCACATGATGGCATATATCACATTGGTGGATGTGCAGGTGAACGAGCCTCTGATAGTGTGACTGATGTGATTAGGCCCTGTGATGGTGTCCCCTGAATAGATATGTGGGCACAGTTGGCAACGGGCTTTGTTGCAAGGATAGGTTCCTGGGTTAGTGGTTCTGTTGTGTGGTGTGTGGTTGCTGGTGAGTATTTGCTTCAGGTTGGGGGGCTGTCTGTAGGCAAGGACTGGCCTGTCTCCCAAGATTTGTGAGAGTGTTGGGTCATCCTTCAGGATAGGTTGTAGATCCTTAATAATGCATTGGAGGGGTTTTAGTTGGGGGCTGAAGGTGACGGCTAGTGGTCTTCTGTTATTTTCTTTGTTGGGCCTGTCCTGTAGCAGGTGACTTCTGGGTACTCTTCTGGCTCTGTCAGTTTGTTTCTTCACTTCCGCAGGTGGGTATTGTAGTTGTAAGAATGCTTGATAGAGATTTTGTAGGTGTTTGTCTCTGTCTGAGGGGTTGGAGCAAATGCGGTTGTATCATAGAGCTTGGCTGCGGAGGGTGAGAAAACCTGGATTTGTGCTGGAAATGGCCCAACTTGATTATCATACACATTGTAAGGAGAGTGATCACTTTAGATAAGCTATTACCAGCAGGAGAGTGGGGTGGGAGGAGGTATTGTTTCATGGTCTCTGTGTATATAATGTCTTCTGCAGTTTCCACAGTATGCATCTGATGAAGTGGGCTGTAGCTCACGAAAGCTCATGCTCAAATAAATTGGTTAGTCTCTAAGGTGCCACAAGTCCTCCTTTTCTTTTTGTGGCACCTTAGAGACTAACCAATTTACTTGATCATAAGCTTAAGACCTAGGACAAGACTTGGTTTACCTCCAGATAACTGCAATACCCAGAGTTTCCTCTCTCTTCTGGCCCACCCATCTCCTCCTGGTCCCATCTCCACTCAGACACCGAGCTCCTCCAAGCAGGGTCGTGTCTTGCTGTTGTGTGAACATCAGGGCGTGCAAGTCTGAGCCTGCACAACCGTAGCTGAGAGCTGTAGCAGACTCCTGGGGATCCGGCACTGAGAGGCAGGGGCGCCGGAATCGGGAGGGCTCTTCCCTCCCCCTTTTTAACACGAAGAAACCGGCCTCGGGGGCCGGCGAGAGCAGGGAGCGCCGTCTCAGCAGCGCCAGCCCCTGCTCAGCCAGGACGGGGGAGGAATCCAGCTGGGGGCCGGTTGCCGTGTTGGGAGACAGACAGGGAGGGGATGGACAGAGTTTGGGCGGGGGGCTGCTTGGGGGTCACGTGCAACTCCCCCCCTGCCCCAGCAGAGGGGGCTGGATGGAGCTGCTGTTCTCCTGCTGGGTGCTCTGCTCTGCAGCAGGACATGGCCTCCTGGGTCCTAGTGCCCACCCTTTCGCTGCACAAAGGTGAGTGCCCGGCGGGGGCGGGGAGGCAGGGCAAGAGGTGCTGGGGGAAGGGGGATGGGGGGGAGAGACAGTGGGGAATGGGGGTGGGATAGGGCAGAGGGGAGAGAAGGGGTTGGGGCAGGGGGCGGTGAGGAGAGGAAGGGGGATGGGGAAGAGAAGGGGATATGGGAATGGGGCGGGGAGCAGGAGCCTGGCATGCGCCATCCCCTCAGCAGCAGAAGCCGCCTTGAGAGGAAGTCAGCCGCAGCAGCACCAGGAGGCGCATCTCTGCAGCAGCTGGAGCTGGAGTGGCCGCATCGTCGCGGCAGCAGGGGGGGCTCCCCCCGATAAGCTGGCCCATCTCCCCGCCTCCCCCGCTCCCCAGCACCGGCAGCCCAGGTACCACTCCAGGCAGGGGGAGAGAGCCAGGGAGCCAGGGGAAACGGCTTCAGTGCACACCTGCCCCAGCAAATACAGTAGGCAAAGTATGCCTACTGGGGACGCACCTACCCGAAGGGGCTCACCTCGGCTCTCGCTGCTCTTTAGGCAGCGTTTCAATCCGCAGCTCATCCGAGCTCCCCACCCCGGTCATACGAACATAACGACGGCCATATTGGATCGGGCCAAAGGTCCATTTAGCCCAGTCTCCTGTCTTCTGACAGTGGCCAGTGCCAGGTGCCCCAGAGGGAATGAACAGAACAGGGAACCATCAAGTGATCCCTCCCCTGTCGCCTATTCCCGGCTTCTGGCAAACGGAGGCTAGGGTCACCCTCCTTGCCCATCCTGGCTAATAGCCATTGATGGACCTATCCTCCAGAAACTTCTCTAGTTCTTTTTTGAACGCTGTTATAGTCTTGGCCTTTACAACATTCTCTGGCAACAAGTTCCACAGGTTGACCGTGCGTTGTGTGAAGAAATATTTCCTTGTGTTTGTTTTAAACCTGCTGCCTATTAATTATTTGGTGACCCCTAGTTCTTATGTTATGTGAAGGAGTAAATAACACTTCCTTATTCATTTTCTCCACACCTGCCAAGATAGTATAGGCCTCTATCATATTCCCCCTTAGTCGTCTCTTTTCCAAGTTGAAAAGTCCCTGTCATTTTAATCTCTCCTCATACAGAAGCTGTTCCATGCACCTAATCATTTTTGTTACCCTTCTCTGTTCCTTTTTTAATTCCAATGTATCTTTTTTGAGATGGGGTGACCAGATCAGGCCAGAGAGAGGGACCCAGGTGACATCACCTCCTTTTGGGGCTTTGGCTGAATCCCAAACACCACCTGGGATTTGAACCAGGATTAGGCTTTAACAACAGCACCAACGCCGGCTCCAGCCCATTGTACCTAACGTCTTCTTCCCCAAAAGGACAGTTATTACCACCTTTCATCCCACCGCAGAGATTGTCACACAGGGCGGGGAGGGGACCTTTTACACGGTCTCTGCTGCTAAGAGGAAAGGGAACAAGGGTGAAGATAAAAGCCTTGCTTAACACTACATTTCAATGCTCCTGGCTCCCATTTGGGTTTTTTCCTTTTTGTGTTTCGGTCAATCCATTTCTAACTCTGCTCGGAATTTTATAGTGTATATGCCACAATGCTAAACTGGCTGAGGTGGCTAAATACCCGCCGCTGGACCTTGTTTAACACTGTTCAGTGCTGGACAGCGACTGGGTTATGTTAACACCTTTCACTTATACATTCCATATAAATTAACACAACAGGCCCCGGCATGGGTGGGGCCTCTATGCATGGCCTACCACAATGTAACTTCACCCTTCAGCCAGGTGGAGTCGGCAGCACCCACAGACAGGTTCAATATCTGGGGGTTCCTCTTAACACTGCCACAAAGAACCAGCTCAAGCCCCCACCCAGTAATCTAGGGAAATTAAACACCATCCTGGGACATTCATAACCATCCCGGAGGCTTCCCCACTCACAGGCACTGAATCTGTGTGTAACCAAAGAGAACTGCTATTGAAAGGGAAAGGGAACCCAGCATTAGTTTGGGAAAACACCACAACCACATTCAAACACATGTGATCATAAGCCAACCCGACCCCAGAGTACTCTGGGCAGTGTCCTTTGCCTCAGTTTCCCATCTTGTGGTTGGAAAGTCTGACAAAAAAATGTCCCATTAGCACATAGCTCCCCTCTCTCTCCACTGCACCCTACTCACAGTTGGCCGTCCTTGGTCATCAAAGACCCAGAGTTCAGAGGGGTCTTAATTTGGGTTCACCACCCACCCCCAGGATGTGCATCGAGCACAACTGACCCTGCTGCCACCATTCGCTCTGCCACCATCAGTCACTCCGGCGCTGCTGCTGCTGTGTTATTTTGGATTTAAGGGAAGTGTGTACCTTAGAATGTAATTAAGCTAACTGGAACTGTATTATGTGCATTTAATAAAATAAAAAACTACATAGTTAAGGGTTAATTAAAAAAACAGGCTTTTAAAGGCAAGGTTAAAACTAGCTGGCAGTTTTCGCTAAGTAAAATAAAAAAAACGTCAACAAGTATAACTAAAAGCCTTGATCAACAAAAGACCTTAAATCTGGGCACCTTTAATATAAAAGTTTATTGAAACTCAGGAAATGTAATA